ATATATACATACATGACCTTTAACCTTCTGCTCTGACCCTAAATTTAACCCGGGATTTCATTGCCCAAAACCTAACACTCTGACCCTAAAGCAAACCAAACCCTTAACCAAAAAAAACCTAAGCTACATACCAAAGTGGAAGTTTGTGCCTCACTTAGGTTTCATGTTATCCAGCTCACAGCATGGATGGACTTTGATGGAGGTAGCCATCTTGAATTTTGACATGGCAAACCAATTTTTGAAAGGAACTTACATCTAGATGTATCAATCTACCAAAATGGGAGTTGGTACATCACCCCCCCCCCCCCCCCCCAAGTTATGCTCACAACATGCACAGACGGACAGAAAGATGGAGGGTACTTCCAATGTCCTTTTTTGCTCTGCGTCAGGGGGACAAAAACTGAATCATGAGCACTCGAGTGTCTCGTTTGGCTGAATTGGGACAATAAACGTTTAACAAGTCTGTTTCCCAGCTGACAGAGCTAAACAAAACTCTAAAATCCTAAATGTGCCTGACCAAGAACAACTTAAAGCACCAAAAAAGACGACAAGATATTTTTAGAAGCGTCCATAAACCGTAAATGGCGCTTTAAAAACCCTCATGAAGGCCTACAGAAAACACTTGAGCCAGACAGGAAACCAACACATCTTTAATTTAAGGGGGTGCTTCTTCGGATAGGTGTGGTTTCTGAAACTTACTGAGTCAGCTCCTCCATGAGCTGCGTGTGGTCAGGAGGGAAGAACTTCACCACAAAGCGAAGGATGGTGTTTTTCGGCCCTGAAGGAGAAAAATGATGGGATGCGTTAAAAGAGGGAAGAGACAGGAAGTGGACATGTGACAAAATCAAACCCTTTCTATCCGTGTAAGAGCTACGTACGTCTGATCTGCTTCAGCGTCGGCTTCAGGAGATCCAACCACACCTGTGGAAAACAGAAAACACGAGGATGTTCTCGCTAGCTTTTCTTTAAATGTCACATTAAAGTGTGAAACAAACAAACAAATAAATATTAAAGGGTAAAGATCTGAAGCCACAAAGCTCTCCAGCTGAAGCTTACCGTCATCTTCCGTTGGTCCTGATACTCCAGTCCAAAATAGTCTCCTTCAGTCAGGTTGAGATGGACGCAAACCAGATCAAACAGCACTTTACCATGTGAGCGTTGCTGAAAGAGAAGAGAGATTAAATTTAATTAAAATAAATGCAATGACAGAAACATAGGAGCTCTGTAAAATGAGAAGATGCAAAGTGTGTGCTGAAAGAGTGTCCATGTTCGCATATTTGATTTCAAACAGACTCTAATAAGCCCCAACTCTGCTCCGCCCGCCACGGAAAGATCCCTTTTGCACCAGTACTTTGTAGCTGATTCGGGATCTTTTTTCTTCCCTGCTTCTCTGGTGGGACAATTGTAGCTGAGTCGAGCTGACTCCGGACCGAAACGTGAATGCAGGACACCGATTGGTCAGGGGGAGGAGTCACTGGATCTTAGAAACTTTTCACCGATCCGCCTTTTGCAATTTCTCGGAACGCGGAGCAGCGGCTGGATCTACTTTTAAGATTTTAAAAACAATAATGACAACACCGTGTTTAATTCTGAAGTCCAGGCGGTTTTTGTGTTTGGTGACCGACGGCAAAATTGGAGCGAGCCGAGTCACCGCGGAGGATCATACGAGCTGCCGAACCGTTGAAGCATGCGAGGCTGGATTACGAGCCCTGGCAGGAGACAGGACAGGGAGTCCGGGACGGAGGTGGAAACATTTTTAAACATTTTATGTATAAAAATAATGTTTTTATCAGTGAAGAATAAAAATAAATAAATGGTGCCGGCTTTATTATGAAATCCTGTTTTCACTTTGACTTTATTAAATAATCTGTTAAAGTTAACTCAGCTGAAAAATCATAAAAAGACTAAGTTATTGGATCTCTCAGGAATATTCCCCTCAAATATGCTTAAAGAAGAGCCTTGAGTTCAACTTTATTCTAACCTACCGTACAAATCGCAAAACAAAAATTACACTTTAAATCAAAACTAAAATAAAATCTGTAGACAAGAAACAAAACCACATATCTAAATTGAACAATAAAAGTAGACACGAGTGCAAATCCATCAAATGATGAAGAAAAATATAGAATTTTAATCATAAATGTTTTTGTAGGATCTGGTTCATCAGATTTAATTCAATTTCTATAGCGCCAAGTAGGAATGCGCGATATAAAAAGTATACGGTAAAAACGATAGAAATTAAGCCTACGATAGAGATCTAACTTCTACCGGCTAACTGCAGTAATGCTGTGTCTGATGTAAAATCAGTGCTGTCAGATTAATCGTTACTTTTTTTAATTGAAAATTGTGCGCAAGTGGCGTTAGTCTTTTCTTCGAGAGCTAAGTAGCAAAGCTACAAGCTAACTACGTCCGGCTTGCCGTAGTGTTGCCGTATTCTGACGCATGCGCAACACGCTGTGTTCCGTCGAAAGTTTTTTGTAAGCGTTGGTCAGCTTTAGAGAACCCTGCTCTCTGATCTGTGAAAAGAACGCTGTGTTGTGTGATTTTACAGCGAGACCCTCTGGTCAAAGCCACAGACTCATTTTGTGTCAGCTCTCCATTAAAGCAGAAGGAGGCGCCCACTAGAGTGTTGGAGGGTGAAATGTTTCAGTGTAAAATGCTGCTCTGTTGCTGTTCATTTCTTAAGTGAGAATACTGAAAACTGTTAACAACGTATTCTTTTGTTTAAAACATATGGCTAAAACTACATTTTATATCTTTTGCACTGTTTTGCACTACAAGAAAAAAGCCTAATACTTGATTTGTTTATTATTTAAAAACTCTCTGGACCTAGTAGAGCACTTTGGTAACAGTTTCTGTTTTAAATGTGCTCTATAAATAAATCTGACTTGACTTGACTTGACTAGTAGTGGATTTTTTTTTTATTCTAAATATATGATAGCAAAAGGACACCCTATGCTTAAAAATTCCTATTAAGTTTTATACCCAAAACATATTGCGATATATATCGTTATCGCCACCCTTCACAATACATATCGTGATATGAATTTTATGCCATATCGCACAATCCTAGCGCCAAGTCACAACAGAAGTCGTCTCAGGGCACTGAACAGAAACATTCATATTTAAAAATAATAATTTAACATTATTTATCTGAGGAGCAGACTGCTTTGAGTTTAACTCATCGCAGAACTCTCACTCTCATGGTGACCTAAAGGTCATTAAAAGTTCATTAGCAGGATTTTGGATTCTGGACACGCCTCCAGAAACCGTCCTGAAGTGCGGTACAAATCAGGCTGGTGTGAGCAGGGCTAAAAAGAGTTGGGGCTGAATAAAAGCAGTGCAAAAGGGGCATAAGAAGCATCTTCACTAACAGAAGGCTGACTTTTAGGGCTAGGCGATATCTCGATATTTTAAAAATATCGATATATATATCGTATATCGCCATTCACCTTAAAATATAGATTTTGGTCCATATCGCCCAGCCCTACTGACTTCTGACCCAAATGTGAGATAAATTTAAATGTTTAGGTCTAATAAGGGGCTGAAGGATGAGCAGACGACATAACTGATAAGAGAGGAAAGACTAATTTGGAGGTGTGGACGTGGTTCGGCTTTCTAAGATCTGATAAACTGCAGGTTTCAGTGTTCTGCAAAATGTGACGGAGAGTCGTTCCTAACTTGTTCCACTCGATAGAAAATGCTGAGTCACAAGATGAAGCACAATAAAGTTTGAGCCAACGTATCCCTGAATACAGTTTTTCTGAGGCGTTTATATCGTTTATATCGATATATATCGTTATCGACCAAGATTAAGAAATATATTGTGATAAAAGTTTTGGCCATATCATCCAGCCCTACCTGAGCGGAGTCAAAAGTGAGTCGTAGTGAGACCAAATAACAAGTTCTCATCTGGCATTAAAACTCATCAGGGGCTTTAAGACACATTTTCCCATTCAGCTTCATTAATGTCTTATTGAATATCCTATTTGTCTACTATTTTCAAAGTGGATTATTTATCCTATTACATGAAGGTCTCAAAAAACAAGGACATTGGGCCACTCCCCTTTGAATTTAAACACATAAGGTTTTCAACACGTTTCAACTGTAATTACTTAAAAATATTTTTTTTGTTTGTTGTCCTTGGAGGAAATATGGTACATCTGACACTACGGATCAATTGTAAGAAGACTAAAAAGACAAATGTCCTGGTGCATGTTCAGTAATCCAGATAGATATGTCTAACAAGGTTGAGTCAGGTCCTCTGGACGGATTTTTCTTTGTTGAAACGTTTTCGTCTTTTATCCAAAAGACTTCTTCAGTCTGAGGAGCTGCAACAAACTCCATCTTATAAGCAGCACCTTCTCAAAGTGGATCAACCAGTTTGCTGATGACATCCAAAACTAATTGTTCAAATGCAAAAAGTGGATCAATCGTCAATGCACTGATGGTTGCTTGATATTCACAAACTGGAAGGATAGTGGGGACCCATTGTTTTCGAGGAAGAAATGTGGCCAGAAAAAAAATCCTGAATGATCGTGATTGGCGATCACAAACGTTTGGTGAAATCAAATCAAAGAAAAACAACATTAGCACTCAGGGCGATGTTTAATAATGAAAGTAAGAGCATTTCCAAACGCACAATGCGAAGAACACAGATTGGGACTGAACAGTCGTGTAGCCTTAAGAAAACCACTAATCAGTGAGGCTAACTGGGGAAAAAAGGCTTCAATTTGCTAGGGAGCATAAAGATTGGACTCTGGAGCAAGGTCATGTGGTCTGATGAGTCCAGATTTACCCTGTTCCAGAGTGATGGGTGCATCAGGTTAAGAAGAGAGGCAGCTGAAGTGATGCACCCATCATGCCTAGTGCCTAGTCATCAATGAAAGATCTTGGTGAAAAATGTATGCAACACTGGATGGAAATAGATCTTGTGACATCGCAGAAGTTTATCGAAACAATGCCACAGTGAATGCATGCCGTAATCAAAGCTAAAGGCGGTCCAACGAAATGTTAGCGTGTGACCTTTTCTTTTTGGTAGAGACTTTTTTGGGGCCAGGCAGTGTAAGACGAGACAGGAATTAAAGACAAAACGTTTCAACCAAGAAGAATCCGTCCAGAAGACCTGACTCCACATTGTTAGACAAAAAATATTCCAAATTTAGAGAAGGAAGCATGAGGAAGTGTTTCTGAGTAATTGTTCATCATTAAATCAACTGTACTTCAGCTACTAAAGACTAGCAAATGGATATGTTACTTTAAATTACAAAAATGAATCAATCCATCAATCAATCCATCCATCCGTACCAGCTTCTTCCAGGTCACATCATTACCTGCTGCAACCGATTTGTTAATTTTAACAATTTTCATGGCACAGATCTGGCTTTGCACCTCTTCAATAACTGGATTTCAAATCATATTAGTCACCGATTACATTAAATAGCTATGTGGACGGACAGTGCAGACAGAAGCTGCTGCAACAGCATCGCAAACAAAAAGTGGTTCTCAAATACACACACGTGGCGGCGATGACGCATTCAGCCACGCTGCTACGAGAAACCGGTTGTCGCTCATCTTATAAAACTCAAAGCATTTGTATAAACTGACGCAAGAACTCGTACAGAAACTAAAACGTCTGCTTTTAACTTCTTAAAGCATGCGTTGTCATGAATGCAAATGTGAGCCAAATGTGTACCATCTGGCTACCGCATGTGAGAGTGTGTCCAATCTCTTCGTAGGGACACACCCACACACCAAAAATACACACACACACACATTTTCTGCAGAGGGACAAGCTGAATGCTTATATTTACACAATTACTGAATGATAACTGTGTTTTCTTAGCAAATGCTGGTGTGAAGCTTGGATCTCCAGGTGTTATCTTGGTTTAAATGTTAAAAGGAAAGGGAGAGGATGAAGTGGAGAAACAGGTTGGAGGAGACAAAGGGAAAAAATGAAATAAAGAAAGAAAAACATCCATTCTTCCTCATTTCTTTTAAAGCCTGGATTGTTCCTCTAAGCCTGACATGGATGACCTGTTGTGTTTGCAGCTTTTGTCTCATGAAAGGGCCTTCACGCCATGCCTCTTATTTTCTCTTCAAACAGGCTTCATTGGCAAAAGCTCAAATGGGATCTCCTCCACGTCCAACTTCAACAGCAG